CAATTAAATCTCCCTATTGTGATGCAAAGAATGATAGCAGCATTTTCTATGTCCACACACTGCCTAAACTGATAAAACGCTCAGTATATGTTAAGAATATAAGTGTGCTCAGTCCATTCACAACACACAATAAGTGCACAATTCAATTAACTAATGCAATTCATATTTCATTAGGACAGAAGCTGTTTGTGACCTCAAACGGACAACAATTTCATGACTGCAGAATTTTAATTAGATAGGAAAATAACAAAGACAAATGAAACAGAGGGAAAATGCGCTGCCTGGCAGAATTGTTCCGAAGAACTTATAAACAAAAGATGCAGTTGTTCTGCTAAGTTCTTCTCCTCCTTCCCCCTTACTAATGATGCAGAGAACAAAACATTATCGCCTTTCTTTGCCTTTCGTTTGTAGAGAAGGCTGTCCCAGCACTGGTGGTATGAACCTGGTATGGAACTGAAAGGCACAGGCAAGAGAAGTCCAAGGGCCTGGTTTAGCTTTTGTTCATGGGTACTTAAGGGAAGGGCAGGTCCTCTAAGAATAATAATTTTTGTATCAGTTTTTCAGAAAAGGCCTAAATATTGGGGCCTAAAATGATTTGTGAAGGAAAGTGGTAAACCAAACAACAACAGACATGATTAATAAAATTGTTAGTAATATTAGGACAAAATAACACACACAAACACAGTATATAAAGGACTCTGATTAACGCAGAGAAGGATTCAAACATTAAGCTGTGATTGCTGAAATATTTCTTTTTGATCTACTCTTAAGAAAATGAGAAAAGATTAACAAGGTTAGTTATTACAGTCCAGTAGTAATTTCATACTTAATCCAAAGCATTACCATATATGCTGACCCTTATGTGAAAAAAATGGCTCCCTACAGTCTGTAATTAGGTTTCATTATTTTACTATGCATTACCAAAACTGTATCTCATCTTACAGAAACATAAAAGGATGACATCCTTCAGTTTTTAGATACTACATTTAACGAGATGACAGAAGGACAAAACTATAGATCAGAGTTCATGTTCTGCAGAACAGGCTTCCCCTGCCCCCTCCTTCCCAGACTATGCTTTATGTTTTAAAGATAAAAACAGTAAATACGTTTTGCATAAAGCTGGCCAGATTTTGTGTTAAAGGCAAAATGCTGAATAGGAAGCAGTTGGATGTGTAGCAAGATGTGTCTGTTTAATCAGGATATTTGTTGATCTGGGTCAGTAACAGGATGGTTGTTTGTCCCTGGCCAGTGGGTGGCAATGGCAGCAAATGGCTTATAGTAGACCAGGATTGATTCTGATAAACATGTCCAGATGGGTATGATTTAAATCAGTAAATATATTGCTTCATATAAAGAGATATTTTCAAATTAATTTTAAACCACTGTTTGCATCTACGAGTCAGTAGATCCTACATATACACTCTTAAAATAGTATTTGAACCAGGGGAATATCAGTAAAGAAAAAGGAAAATAGCTTTGCCTTCTCCAATCATAACAACTCCGATGCTTTATTTTTTCACGATATATTAGATCAAAGCCCTGTTGTCTGTATAATAATATTATTTAGTAGTTATTTTCTCAAACTTATTGTGATCTGAAGCTAGTTTTACTGGAAGAGATGAAGTTAATTTATCGTCAGTCTTGTAAAGTAAGTTTTTAATGCAATGAAAGTATCATAACAGCTGCTAAATGAGAGAGACCATAAAAAGGGAGTTTCCAGAACTCACTGATATTAGCTGCTCACCCATACATTCCCTTCCTCTCAAGTTTCAAGATGAGATTATTACAAAAAACAGGCTGATTGTTACCAAAAAAAAAAAAAAGAAAAAAAAAGAAAAAGAAAAAAAAAAGAAACTGTCTGTACAAATCTGCAAATAAACCAGCTTGGGGGAATTCCCATGTCTGTGTCTGACCTCCATGATCAAAATAAGGCATCCTCGACCCAATAGAAAATTCTGCTATTTTTTAGTACTCAACTCTTCACCTGAGGGGGTATCTGAGCATCACAGCTCATGCTCCAGGAAAGCTGTGCTCTAACAGTGGTGGGCCCAGCCTGTGCCAGACCCTCAGGCTGGAGGGGTGGCTGCTCAGGGATGAGCACTGGGAAGCAGGGTGGTGGCCATCGCTGGGCACGGCAGCAGCGTCTCGCCCGGCCCCTGAGCACCGCGCTGAGTCCCCAACCATGGAGAAGCTGGGCCCAGGCTATTTATCTGTGATAAGTGCAGCCAGTTGTGCAGCCAAATTGCTCTGTACGGCTTCCTTTTTATTTTTTTCCTGTTAATTTTTTGGCTTGGCTGATGGAGGACGGAGAGGAAATGCATCCCAGCAAAACTGCCTCTCTTGGATTTGCGGGGGCCTTGTTCCAGTCTGCTTGCTGGCCTTGGGCTCACTATGAGCTGCGATTGCTTTATTTTTTTTAGCCTTTTCTACATTTCAATTTACAAATCTGATGCCAGATTCTTTTCTTTCCCTTACAGTACTGCAAAATTCATTCTGCAGCCATTCTGGGATCTGCTCTGCACAGCCAGAGATGCCACTGACAGCTTTTGGATAGGAGGAAGCTGAGGCTAAAGAGCAGAGAATATTTCTTGCCCTACATTGTTCTTGAAGACTATTTCTGGCACACAGGAAGGTCTCACAGAATTACCATCAAACTTATTTTAGCTAATTCCATACGTGACTTGAAGTACTCCAGAGGTGTGTGTCAAGCCTTGGAGAACTGATGGCAAGTTTCACTCCCTGATTAGACATAGAAATAAATGTACGACACTCTTGGGGCTGCCTGGAAGTGCCTTTCTTATAAACAGAGGGGAAAACAGCCTTCAAATGACACACAAAGAAAATTAATAGGAGTGAGTCCAAATATTGTACTCTAAAATGAACACTTTAATAATCATAACAATGTGGTTTGAAAAGCATCACTTTTAAAGGTCAGCTATACCACCCTCTGCACATTGAAAGCATAGCGGATATATTGAGTCATACATATTGTTCATTGTCATTTGCATTTGGTGAAATCCCTGCATTTTACCCAATTTAGTAAGCAAGCACCGCCTCGGACTCCCTTGGCAATACCTCTAAATGCAGTTACTGTTTGTTGGGCTAAAACAACATCTTGTCCCATCCTGCACCAGTAAATCACTCTTCGGTCTTTTGATCAATGCTTGCCTTTTCAAGCCTGTGAGTCATTTTGCATTAATGGAAAGAGAGGGAGTGACACACAAGAGCAATGTGGGTATTTTGAGCTGCACCTCTGGGATACTTTTGTGCACGTTGCTCTGAACAAAACGACCATCTGTATCAGTCTGCTGACAGCCACTAGTGCATCAAAAGATCTGACTTCCTATCTTTGTGGATAAAGACTGGCTAATTCTACATGCGCCATGCAGAGTCATCAGGGGACATGTCATGGCAAGGCCCTACTGAAAACAAGCACACTTTTTGCAACCCAGCTTTTTTTTCCAAATTGTTCTCAGCATCTGCCCTCACGGCCTTTTCCATATTCTCCTGCACATCAACCATCAATGTACAACTTCCCAATAGTCATGTCAGTGATGTTTCCAACCAGAATACGGCGGAAGCTGTCCTCACCCTTCCGGGGGCTACACCTGAAGAGTAAGCAAATTTTGTGGGTGTTGAAGCCTTTTAAAATTTTCTATGAGCAATGTAAAAATGACTCATTTCTGCTTTGGCTGGAATATATAATTGGTAAACACCAGTGGGGAACAATCATATTTCTAAATTTGTAAACATAAACAGTGCATCATGCACCAACTCTTTGGTCCTGTGTTTTTCGTGGGAAGGGAAGGGAAGGGCAGGGGCTCAGCCTCACAGCTGGGCAGGTTTGGTAGCTACAGCCAACAGCAACTGAGGGGGGAACCAAGAACTGTCCAGCAAGAAGGAGACTAGGAGGAGGTGGAGGAAAAGAACAGAGGCACCTTCCCATCACAGCACTGATTGAGGCTTTAAAACCATTTAAAAAAAACGAAAACCCACTCATAAAGATGTATGGATTTGCAAAACACCATGGAGCTTAATCCAAAGATCACCACAAGCAAAGGAAGATCCAGGAAAGAAAAGTAATGGATGTTCTGGATTGAGTTCTGCAGGGAGGACAGTCAGAACACATGCCCCTGCAACACACAGACTACTTTAAAACTAGTTGGTTTGCTGACTGAAGGAGAATTTAGGCTGATTGTGTAAAAGCACATATATAGCATGCACAAACTCATCAGGAAAGAAGTCACCTTAAAGTGCATTTATAAAACCTAACACTTTTACAGTGCCTTCAAAATCATAATGATGCTAATAAGGATTTTTGTTAGCATTCAGTAATTTGAATACTAACAATGATGAATTTGTTAGCATTCCATCCAAGAAGGTATGCAAGTCATATGCCTTTCCTTGTCCCTGTTATGGACAAAAGACCAGTGCTCACAGGGTTTCATTTGGACCCCTAACCCAACCTGCACAAGCAATTCTGATGGAAAATCTGGAATGGGAACCCACTGACTTGCTCCCTTCTCTCCATCTACCACCAGAAGGAGCACACAGGCTGCTGAGGGTCACCTGTGTGTGTCCTCCCCTTCTGCCGGACTGGGGTGCTGGGCTGCCATGCCCAGCACTCTGGTCCCCACAGTTACTCACTGACTTCCCAGTCCCAGCTGAGGATTCATCTCACACAGCATTGCTCCCCTGCTGCTGGGCCACAAAGTTTCTTTGAGACTCTGCACATCCCTCCAGTGACGCCTGTTCGGAGTTACCCGCTTATGAGTAATAGCGTGAAAAAGTCAATTACACTCATATTCATAGAGCTGCTACTTAAAATGTTAACGATGAGGAAACTTGCCCTACAGGAATGAGGATGGGGGCAAACTTTTATTAGCCCCACATGAGCTTTTATCTGTTTTAAATGTTACATTGTCCCAGGGAAAGAAGTGCCATTGTTAACAGCATTGGAGGCAGTCAGCTGCACTCAATTTAAAATTAAAAGGGGAAGAAAAAATAAATGAAAAGGGAAAAAAACCAAGGGTCTGCCTGACACACTGTAGTATGGCAGGCTATGGTAACATGCCCCAGAAACTTTTTATTGAATCCAGCCTTTCACTATAAAAGAATTCATTAACTGCTTCATGATGCAAAGTCTGCTAAAGACATTACCCTCAGTGGCCAGCATGGGGTTGTTCCCATACACTGTGAGCACTGCTTTCACTGATCACTGCTGAGTCCAAGGTCACATCTATGAGTCACTGTTATCCAGTCCTGGGCACCAGTGGGATGTCCATGCTTCCAACTCAAGATGGCTCCACATCTCTGCCCACTGTTGCCCTGCTCAAGTCAGGTCTGGAGAGCTCAGCTCAGGAGAAGTGTGAAGTCGGTGTTTAAATCAGCTGGTATTGAGTCTCTTGTGCGCTGAACTTCCTCCCCTCTCTGCATAAGGACTACCAGGGGTGCACAAAACCCTTCTCCTGCCTTCCCCAGCAAATTACCTGTGCCACACACATGTTGCACAAATTGCACAAAAACCACTGTGCCAACCACCAGCTCAATTCTGTATGGTTTGGTATACCCACCCTTGGGGCAGTGCAACATCTACTCTAATGAAGTTATCCCAGTGTAAAAACTCCACAAACAATAATGCTACATGAATGTAGCCTCTGTTACTGGGGAGCCGCACCTTTGAAAATGTTATTTTTAAGGGCTGTAAAAAAGGCTGGGGCAAGAGGAGGCAGCCTGACTCTGGGAACTGCTAGAATCTTCCCATCAGTTTATGATTTCCATTCACTATCAGTCAGTTTGCACTCCACTGGTGCATGTGGTGCTGAAAGAGATGCACTAGTGGATGTTTGTTATATTTATGAACCAGGTGGCCCTAACTGCCCCAATTACACTCGCTGCCTTCCATTCATCACGCCGCCTTAATGAACAGAGAGGCTGGCGGATGTCAAACAAGCAGCCAGAAGAAACAAAAGAGAAGCCAGGCACAGTGTCACCCGGCTTGAACCAGCCCACCGGTACCTCTCACGTGGCTGTATCCATTCAGCTCCCCTGCAAATCCCAGCGTGAATGAACCACAGCCACTGCAGAGCAAACAGATAAGAGTCCGGAGGAAGTGATCGATATATTTAGATAACGTGTAACAAGAACACGCAGCAACCTGCCTCCTTTTCCATGCTTGGATAAAGAGGAGAGGAAAATAAAAATCTCAGTATTGGCTGCTTCAGGCTGAGTCATTCTTTGACACTACGGTTAATCGGCACCACTGTAACCATGGAGTTAGCCTAAGTTCAGGATAACACGGTGGCCTTATTAAGAAACTCAAGCACAGAAATACAGTTGGAAAGTCCTAGTTCTCCTCAGCAAATGAATCTTTTGAACTCAGCTCAGCCACCTGCACCTTCACGTTCACTGTTTTTACAGAGCAGATGCTGGAGGTGTAAAAATAATTCAAAATATGTTAGTCATGCTTGAAATGGTCAAATGAAGATTAGAGAAAAACCCAACAGTTTAAGAGAATGTGAAGGGACATTAAAAGGTATGTAAATATTTATCCATAATTTTAGAGCAGTATGCTAAATACTGTACTTTTTTTTTTGCTCACACACTGATTCCAGTGCTCATTAATTGGAATTTCTTCAACTCTGAAAAGGACCTTTATGGGATTGAGAAAAGAAAAACTAGGACAGCACTGAATACGAACTAGCTTTTGAGACAAGAGCCACTTACGTGACCAAGGCTGTGCTCAATTGCCTTTGCTGTTTTCTTGCAGAGAAGCAGCTGAGCAGTTTTAAATAATAGAAGAAAAGAGTCTGTTTATAGAATAAGCTGGAAATGAGACTCTACCTGCAGAGGCTGAGCACACAGCCAGCCTTCCTCTGGGTTCAGTTTAGTTTGAGTTTATTACAAAGCTAAGTTTTCAAGCTGAAAATAATGTTTTTCAAGCTGAGAGTTGGTCTTTGCTAACTAGGGTATAGTTCAGCAAAGAGGGTATAGTTCATCTTTTTCATCTCTAAATGGCATATATATATAAAGACACATGTAGGGACACACAGGACAGAAAGAGTAAGTCTGTCTGTATAAAAACCACTCTAGCTGAAAACTTTTCTGCTGTGTCAGATTCATAATACAGTGCAAAACCAAAATCTAGAGAAGAGTATTTTGAGACCTATTTAGTTTTCAGGGGACTTTTTCCTTATAGATAAAATAGACTGTGAGCTCACCTGTGTCTTGTGTAAGAATCTCTTACCTTTCTGTGACTACATGTCTGTAAGACAAGTAGTTTGGCATGGGAAATGCACCAGTTACACAGACTTTTGTTAATCAAATCTTACAGAAAAATGTAGGAAATTGCTTATGGGAAGAAAACCCCATCCCATTAACATTGTAGCATCCATGTTTGTTCAAATGTATTTTTTGTAAGCACACACTGTATTACCCACCAGAAAAAAACCTCAAACAAGCTGCATCCCAACACTGAAGTGCAAGGCGTGTACACGGGTCTCTCCCTCTGCTCTGTTCCTTTAAAAACAATTTCTCTTCAGCTCACTCAGGTACTTTATTTATTATTTAGGCTTGGCCCAACATTTCAGCTGTGATTTTAGCTTCAGTTTTTGTCCACTAATTCCAGTAGATTTCAAGTGCTTTTTTGGCCTGTGAGGTGTCCATTGTCCATCCCTTGAGCAGATTTACCTCTTGACAGCTGGCAGCAAGGAATCCTTCAATGCCAGCAGCATACAGCAGGCCCACAAAGTGATTCATACTTTAGTTGTCATCTTACCCACGCCAGCCCCAAATTTAGGAAACCCCTCTCAGTCACCATGAGCATTAATGTAATATTTTTTAGGTCTCTAGGTGTTGGCTGCCTATGTGGCTTTGCTCTGGCTTGATCTGGTATGCATCTACACAGATCACTCAAGATCAGGCCTTCCAAAAAAAAACCCAAACTTGTTTGGAATCCTTATGCTGCTGCTCCCAAGAATCAAGGTCTGCTCTCTCCCTTGATCGCTACAAGGAGTACAACATGACTGGCAAGACTGCTCTATAAAAGAGCATCTATTTTCAAGCTCATCTTTTTCCTATTGAAGGTCTTCCATTTTGTTTTAAGTATTTTAAATTAGTCCCTAGAAGATGATGAATCCCACATCTTACATCTGGACCAGCATGAGCCTGCAGAGTCAATCTGCAATGTGTCTAATACAGTTATTGCAGGGAAAATGAAACAGTATGGAGAGGAGATTACATAGATGTGGGCTTGCTGCATAATTCAGGGCCATGGGAAGATTCCTCAGTGATGGCCACTGCAGCCCTCAACAATTCCTTTGTGAAGACCAGACCAATGCATGTTGCTTGTGCTTCCAGATTGCAGGATGCAACATTCACAGTAATTACAACCCTAGTATTTGGATTTGTATCAGAAAAAAGCAGTTCGTTGCCAAGTGCAATTGTAAATACCACTTACATTTTTGCAAAGCCTAAGCCAACAGATAGATCCCTACAATCCAGAAAATGCTGAGCTACAATGTTCCTCATGAGCCCACTAGAGCCAGGGATGCCGTAATACCCTGATGCTAAACTGCAATCACGCACTTTTCCCCCTGAACATTCACTTTAATGAATCCTAAATTATCTGCAGGCATAGTAATGATACCAATTGTCATTTCGATCACCTAGGACAGGCGCATTATCACCTGTCTGAGCTAACAGTTTGCACAGGGCCAGGGTTTTTTCCCTAGCTCAAAAATAAAGTCTAGCAGAAAGTACTGCAGAATGACCAACAGCTGTGACAGTCTCTAGTTAGCAAAAACTAACTCTCAGCTTGAGAAGCACTATTTTCAGCTTGAGAAGCACTGTTTCCAGTCAGGTGGGGATTTGTGGGGCAATTCTCACACTGACTGAGACATTGGCTCCTTAGAAAGGAAGAAGTAGCATCACACTAGTGAGACATCAGAGGTCTGTAAGAGAAGGTCTTTTACGTGCTTTTTTCTTTTCTTTTAGAAGGGACAAAGTCATCCCCCAGCCCTTCTGCCTCCAAGCCACCTGCAATCCTGAACACATCCCTCAATACCTCTTTCACAGGACAAAGATATGAGGAAAAAATAAACCAAACAAAAGCACGAGGAACAACTTTAACTGCACCTCGAGAGAGGCGGAGGGGGATATTGTACACAGAGACCCTGAGAACAGCTTGCCTTGTGCAGGTGCAAAATTCCCTTCTCCCCTGCCCATGCTGGGAGTCATTTCCAGGGGTCTGCCCAGGTGGTTATGTGCTGCTACCTGCAGATAAAGAAACCCCTGCTAAAGTGAATCTTAACTGTACAGCCCAATGCTCTGCATCTGTTCAGCTTGGATGGGTTCAGTGGTTCAGTTAATGTAAGCTCAGGCTAGTCTGAGCCTGTTAAGTGCTCAATTAAGCCTGATCCACTGCACCTCTTTATTTCCTGCGTAGCTGGATTCTGTTTTTTCCATGACACAAGCATTTCCCTAACCTTTTGGAAAAGGCATTTAGCTGAAAAGCACGGAGTAGGAGGAAGTTGTTTGCTCTTGGTATGCTGTGCCGGAAATAAAGTCAACATGATAGATTAGTACTGAGTGAGTGGAAGTTGTTTTTCCCAAAATGTCACACTTGTGTTTCAGAAATGATTGATCTTGAGCATCAAATAAAGCACAGGCAAACCCACCAAAACATACATCATGTGTAGCAAAACAAATGCCATAAAGAAATGTGCTATAAGCTCTTGCTGAGACCTGCAAAGCCCAATAAACATTTGCTTGTCACAGTGCAGAGCAATGGTTACAGCATGCAAAGGAAATTATGTCTTCACCACAAGAACGTGTGTCTGGACTTAAAACTAGGTGAATGGATCAGATCTTCATCTGGTGTAAGTCAGAAAAGCTACAGACATTTCAGTCATGTTTTAGATGATTACTCCTAATGAGCTCTTGTTCCATGATGTCTGCAGAGACGCTTGGTTTACAAGGCCACGGCTTTGAAAATTCATAATCTTCCTTTTAGGCTTCTCCATCAGGAATTCCTTATACAGATTTGTTGTTTGATCCTCCACAGGAGGAAAAAGCCTGAATAACTCTTTTCTCATTTGACTACAGCTGACAAATTGACACAGGCACCGAAATTAAAACTCTGTTCCGTTCAATTTGGGAATGAAAGAAGAACCTGCTTAGGGGTTGGGGAGGTGGGGTTAAAAATAAAGCCCACACAGCAGATTGCCTCCAGCAGCTCTCACAGGTCCTTCGAGCTCCTGTGACACAGACAAACTGCATCTCCCGAAGCAGGGATGACGGGGAGCTTCCCTTGAGAGCTGTAGCTGTAGTTTATGAACGTGCAACTTCATTAGCAGCCGGTGACCCCATTAGACAGGGCTCTTAATTTCTTGGCTTGGACAAAACTCTCCAGGGATTATCACAGCTGTGTGCCGCGCACAGAGAAAGATCTCATTGCTGGGGCAAGGAAGATGGCTTTCAAAGTCACCTTGAGAAAAGCTCAGCAATTCAAACATCATCTTGTGGATTCACAGAAAATAAAGTGTTTAATTTCAGATTTTGCTGAATGAAATTGCTGTAACTTGTAGAAAACCCACTCGAACTCCCAGGTGAGGAGCTGACACAGAAAATCACATGTAGCCCAACAAGGCTCCTCTTTCTATTATTAGGGGAGAAGGATGAGACTATTTATTTCTAGCATGACTTCATACTGTGGGGCTTTTTGAGAAAAAAAATTAGAAACAGAAGGAAAGCTCATAAGCAGCCGATGACCTGCTCCATGTAGAACAGTTACAGAGGAGCAACTGTGCTCTTCACAAAGGACTTCTGATGTAGGCAGCAGGCCGTGATTTAAGATGGGCTGGGTTTGCGGGGTGGTAGTGGCAGGCCCAAACTCTTTTGTCAGTTATCTCAAACCACAGCAGACCTCAGAGCTCTGTTCTCTGGGAATGAGGGTGCTTGGGAAGCCCACGGCGGTGTCTGGATAGCTGGGGGATGCTGCCGAGACCCGGGGCTGTCTTATCATCCCTTTACAAAAGAGAGGAGAGGGAATAAGTGATCTGGCAACTAGAGGTCCTAGTGGGATGGATGGATGGATGGATGGATGGATGGATGGATGGATGGATGGATGGATGGATGGATGGAACAAACTCAGCATATCAGGCACAAAGTCTAGGAAGACAGCAGAGATTCAAGTATCTACTGAGAAGAAAGGAGCTGTGAGAACAGTGCGGAAGGAAAGGTCATTCTGATGTCATGTTTTTCAGTATTCAAATCTGTCGGGTCACAGGGGCTTTCAAGCAGCCTGTAATGCTTTAAGTTGGATCGCTCAATTAAGAACTGTTTACAGCTTTGACCCAAGTTTAAATTTTGTCTGGAGGGACAAGCAACAGTAGTGGGGTTCAGCAAAAGCCTGCAGTGGTAGGAAGATGTGGTGAATGCTGTACTAATGGAGTTTAAACAGTGTGCTCTGGCTGCAAGGCTCTCACATCTACTTTGGACAGAAAGGGGATATATATGTTGTCATTAGTACATGCCATATTAACTGCTATTCCTAATGCGTTCGTCTGGCATGATTTTCTGTTCCTTTCCTTAAAATCTCCTTTTATGGCTGCCACGCAGTAGATCTGTTATTTTTAAACTACTGCTTTTTTTTCCTTCTAATACTCATCTGATTGTTCAAAGCCTGACCATGGACTCTCAAAATACACATCTGCATTTTTCCACAGCTTCATGCTGAGTTCACTCTAGATTTTTATCAGCAGAAGGATTTCAGCCTGGGAGGTTTCATGGCTTCAGCCCCAGTGGCTACAGGTGGGAAGCATTGATTCATGAGCAAGCAAGTTCGAAGGCTGAAAAACAACCAAGGCTGAGCAATGAGCTATCTGATGTACTGGAGTTTCCAGTGAAAGGCATTTTTCAAGATGTATCAGCAGTTTTGAACTGCTGGTAAGAGCAAAGGGTAGTTTTTGAAACTGCCCCAAACTCTACCTTTGTCCCACTTTTGTGCTCTTGTTCTACTTGGGAACCTTTTTTCTGTAGTCGGTTTCTTAATGCCGATGCTTTCGTCTAAGAGAGCTGCCCTTCAAGGCAGCACCGTGGCTGATGCGGAGTGGTTCAGCTCCACTGACTTTTCACTGGAGTTGTGCCAGCTTGCACCACCTGAGACAGAGCCCTCCCTGCATTTTCAGAATCAGATCTGCTGTATTTAGAAGCAAAAATCAATTTCAACAGTTTCTTAATCTCGTTAGCTCTATAAAATCATGCAGCAGGGCAGGGAATGGCAGCTGGCAGGCATCTGCTACAGAACAAATTTTACCAGTGAATGGAACATCTCCTCAACCATCTGTTTGTAATGTGTAGAGAGAGGAATTACCATCATTGGTGACTTCAGCCTCAGAGATATTTGCTGGAGATCTCATGTGGTGTGGTCATTCAAAAAATACCTTAGACGGTCATGCACCCAGCACACTTGAGCTGAGTACTGACCTCATTCAGATAGACAAAAAGTAAAAAAGTTTACAGACTGAAGAATTAGCAAGTGGCTGGTCATAATGATGACCATATTAGGATCAAGTAGAATCAAACATCAACCCCAAAAATGTATGAAATAAATTTAAATGCATCAGCACCCCCAAACTTGACGTATTAGTGTAACTGAGGGGCAACAAAAATTAACAACATAAATAATTGACAAAAAGATGGTTTTATATAAAGACAGCCACAATTCCACAGGCAAATTCATGCCAAAAAAGCTTAAAAATACTAGTCCAGATAGAAAGGCATTTATACTAAAGAACATACAGAAGCAGTGTTAACACAAGTATAAAACACGGAGGAAAACCAAAAAGACATATCCAGTTAGTAAGGGATTTAGAAATCACCACAGGAGCCTAGTGTGAAAAGATGAATGCCTTTTTCCATGGTCCCAAGCCAGTGAAAGGTGCATGAAAGGCTTACCCATGGGGAAAGCACCACATTTGGGAGCCATGCATGAGACTGCTGGGGTAACACAGCAGAGCACAACGTTGTGTTTGTCTGGCCTGACCTACTCCTGTATTTCCAGGCCCACAGGTAGCTTGGAACCTGCACATCACAGGAGACAAGCCTATCACAATGATCCATCACCTGTACTGATCATCTGGAGTCTATTTCTGGGCCCATCTGGGGATGCTTCATTTTCCCCTCCCTTTTTGGCTTCAAACACCTGCAATGTAAAATCTTTCAGGCTTAGCAAATGAACAAGTGGGTGAAACTTACGCACAACACACAGGCAAGTGGGCCAGGTGAGTTAATAGCCACCATGTCCCTAACCTCTGCAGATCTAAGGAGACTCTCACTCTTTCCCAGAGATCAGAAACAAGTTTAACTACCCTCTAGCAAGCTCATTTCCCAGCCAGGTTGCAGGTGGCAATGTAAGACCTGCTCTTCATCTCAAGGCAGAAAGGCATGCAAAGCTGCACTGGGGTTGGTCTGGCGGCTGAGGAACTGTGCCAGCCCTAACAAATGCAAGCTGCAAAGTATTTAGATACAACTGCAGGTATCACATCATAAACAGATAACTTTTACTTGACTGTTTTGCAAAAACAAAGTCCAGTATTTACAAAGCTCTTTGTGAAGGCACATGAGCACTCCAAGGAACTTTGCTGACTCACTGAGCCTTTGCAGTGAAAGGAGACCGCAAGTTGTTAAGGAGCAGCGTACGTGTGGCAGGAGAGCTCTTGGGTCAGCAGATGAGGATGTTTATGGCCACCAGAGTGTCATCATCAGACCTGAGCCCCTTTCCAAAGGGAAAAAATCAAAGGCAAGAGAGTTCAGCCATAGACTGTAAATAGTGACAGCTCTGCAAGGAGGGAGAGCCTGGTGGGTGTTACAGGAGGAAGGGCTAGGCTGCTGTAATTTTAGGGTGGGCAGAGCGAAAGAGTCATGTATTTTAGAGTCCGGAGGCTGGAAGGTTTTGCAATGAACTTCAGGGTTCATCAGCTGTAGACAAGGCATGGGTAGTACTGGGTCTGCAGCTAGTAAAACAGAATGCTGTGGCATGGAGATCCTGAGAAGGATTTCTTTCAGCTGAGGACATCTTCACATATCTAAGCATGGGGTGCCAAATCCACAAGCTTTCTAATCAGCCCCTGGCACTACACATGCCTACCCACCTTGCCTTGGGAGAACCTTATTCGTGACAGCCTCAAGCCAGCAAGCATCTGGCCAAAGCCATGTGTGGGGCTGGGGTTTATCTGCTTGGAGCAGAGGGAATTTTAAACAATTAGGAAAAGACTTAGTGGAAATCAGCTGGCTAAGCGATGAGCTAAAACAGAGAAAATGTGGGAGACAAACCATGCCCTCACCCCAAGGCCAAAGTGTGGGGTTAACTCAGGATTGCAAAGCAATGCCTCTGTCCTCAGGGAGTTCAGACACTTACATTTGGAAGCACTTACTTTCCTTCAAAGGAAAAAATATAACCCAGAGGCCTGTGCTTTCCTCTTCCTTCCAAAACTACGTCTCTCTGATCTAATCCAGGGGGTCTGGGCTCACCCCACTCTGCAGGGATATGGGAGGACTGGAGATCATTCCTCTCCCAGCC